CTCCCAAATTTTTAATTTCGCTACTTGTTACTTTTTGGGCTAATTTAAAAGCAAGTTGGGGCTAATTTGGGCTATTAATGTTAAGCAACTCAATGATGATTATTTATGGTTAGATGCAACACAAACAAGCACCCCGCGATAGCAACCATAGACTGACAATTTAAATGCGAGCACAACACGCAGTATATCCTTTTACGACCAAAGATCACATTCACTCCAAAAAAAATCTTCCACTTACGGGCTATTCATGCCTGTGCCACCTCTTGGGTAGCTTAATCGTCATCAATCAATCACAAACAAGGAACAACGATTTCAAGTTCAACAAGCCACAACTTAGGACAGAAAACAGGAGATTTTTTTCACCCACGTGAGGCATAACAATGCACAACTACCAAATCATCAACATTATCTTGGAGTCAGAATCCACCAATCACTGATCGTTGTACAACAAGTGGAAGCTGCAGTTATAAAAGCAAACCAAATCTTTTGGAATAGTCAAACGAAATTTTGACGAAGGAAAAGGTAGTTATACAACTGTATATATCTCTGGTGTGCTTCCACTTGATTATTATATCCACGCATTGAGACCTCATCTTCAGAAAGACATATCTGCTTTGGAGAAAGTTCAACACCGGGCGACTAAAATCTTTTCCGAACTAAGTCGACTTTCATACCAGGAATGTGGTTGAGGGCCACAGGGACCACCCTTGAGAATGGTCCAGGACGGACCGAAACGTCGTCGTCCCTTCACTTTCTAGTGTGTGGTTTGGTCAACATATTTCAGCCACGTTATTGAGACTCCTCGTCTGCAGGTGTTTGTTTGCTAGGTCAGTATAGGTACACAACTGGTTGGGTTCTGGTTACACTCAGACACGAGCCGATTCGGCTAAACTCATTATTTTCTGTTTTAAATCCGGATGTACTGTTATGCTAGGCTGTATTATGTTATGTTATTAAGGTAAGGCTGCATTGGGCTCGGTTGATTTAGATTGGTTTGATTTGGGTTACGTTAGGTTGGGTTGAGTTATGTTAGTCAGGTTTCATAATTCAAAATTCCACTACGCCACGGAGCGCCAATCCTTAACTGTTCACCCAGCAGATAATAGGTTGTTAAACGATTTGGCGGGTCGTATTCCGAGGAAAAAATTAGGATTAAGGACGTGTCCGAAACGCTATGCGTGCTAGTGGCTTTACAAGAATTTAAAAACTCTTTTTTATATATAAATAAAAAAAAATAAAACTAAATCCGCCGACGAATCTCCGTGGTGTAGTGGTAAGACACTCGCCTGGCGTTCCGCGAGCGCTTTGTCTTGGGTTCGTATCCCGGTCGGGGAGGATTTACTGGGCGCAAATCCTTAACTGTAGCCTCTGTTTAACTCAACAGTAAAATGTGTACTTGGTTGTAACAACGATTCTTCGCGGCGGGGATCGTATTCCAGGGACCTGCCCGAAACGCTACGCGTACTAGTGGCTGTACAAGAATGTAACAACTCTTGTATATATCTAAAAAAAAATCTTGTATGCGATATGAGACTTGTATCTGGCATAATTAAAATCTTAACTTAAATAATTCGTTTGTTAAACAATATATGATATTCAGATCTACAAATTACTTTAAAAGGCCTATAATGCGTATAAATATTAATTTACACTCCTGGCGCGCTGGAATTTCAATATGGCGTTCAAATAATTTTAGGCAGGGAGTCTCTGGGTCGGTTGGACGCTACGGGTCATCGACTGTGACCCGGTCAGTCGTCAAGAAGCAGCCGCGGCGTGAGGTGCGTCGCTCCCGTGTAGATAAGACTGATAATTTTTTTGTTGTTGTTTTTTTCAAATATATCTGAGCAGTTGGGAGGTACGCATGACTATATAGTCTACCTCCACCTACAATGCTTAATGCATTATACATTTGCTCGCTATTATAACATTGAGTTTTGTAATGTCTCGAGGGTCATTGTTTCCGTATTTTTTTTTCATCCGGGTTCTGTAGTATTCAAATGTTTGTATTCCACTAATGTTAAATAGTTTGTTCTCTCTCGGATATTGTGGAAGATTTTGAGGATCATGATTTGCTAACATTATATGGGTAGGATATTATGTAGAATACACTTCCCCATTGTTAAACTACCCCGTCGTCAGGCTAGGCTCGTTAACGCGGCGGTCGTCTCCCTCACATCCCAAGACGCATTTATTATCGTCTTTCATGTACTGTGTATTAAAAATAGTTTTTATCGTGTATAAATTAATTTTATATTCTATAATTAATTAGGCGTATAGTAGGTTCGGTATTTAGGTTCTGTTGGCAATTATTTTCATTTTAAGTATGTGGAGGGTGAAGCATTTACAGTTGCCTGTCCTCAGGCCAGGCTCCCCTACGCCGCCGCCCGACCCAAAGCCGCATTCGTCAATTTTATCGCTGTGTATTCAGAATTATTCTCGCGTATAAGGTAATATCATTTCATCAAGTTAATAGTTAACAACTAAGTTTAGTGACAAGCGACAGTCCAATGTACAAATACTGCAATAATTTAGTTTAGTTCATTTATTATGCACCCCATACCTATCTTGTGGGTGGTAATGGAAAGGGTTACAGAGGCACATAATGGGCTATCTTGAGATGATTTCGGGGCTTTAGTGTCCCCGCGGCCCAGTCCTCGACCAGGCCTCCACCCCCAGGAAGCAGCCCGTGACAAATGACTAATACCCAGGTACCTATTTTACTGCTAGGTAACAGGGGCATAGGGTGAAAGAAACTCTGCTCATTGTTTCTCGCCGGCGCCTGGGATCGAACCCAGGACCACAGGATCACAAGAACAGTGTGCTGTCCGCTTGGCCGACCGGCTCCAGTGGCTCAGGGACTGAACCCCACATTTTTTTTTGGGGGGGGGGCGGGGATATATACAAGAGTTGTTACATTCTTGTACAGCCACTAGTACGCGGACGTAGCGTTTCGAGCAGGTCCCTGGAACACGATCTCGTTTAGCTAAGCAAGTTACAATCTTGATACACAGTTTACATTTGGTCAGGTCTACATCAGCAGATAATGAGAATTCCCAGAGATACTTGTAACGGAGTCTAAGCCGAGCAGTAGTATCATCTAGAAGTCTGCTGATATTATTGGATGAACCATAGATGTGTGGCTCCTCGTGCATGATAGTATGATACTGCAATAGATGAACAACTTCCCAACAAGGACTGGGGACACCCCTCCGGGAACTGAATTTACCTGAGGGCCACTAACACTAGTGGCCTCGATGAGAGCAGTAAGCCGGCGGCTTGTCAAAGGTCCCCGTATTTGTCCTGATCTTTTCCAGCTGTATTTTAAAACCCAGCAGAGGTTTGGCGTTTACTGCTTCGGCGGGTAGGCGGTTCCACTGGTTTACAACCCTATGGGTGAAAAAGCATTCTGGCTTGTTGAGTGTGAACCCGTTGCTCCTTATTCGTGTAACATCTGACCTTTTGAAGACAGTGTCCTGATCGACATTCTCCAAATTGTTTAGTATTTTAAAGGTTTCTATGAAGTCTGCCCTGTCATGCCTGGTTTGTGGTGTTGTTAGCCCTGTGGCCCTCAACCGTTCCTGATACAACAGATGACTAAGCTCTGGTATGATTTTTGTCGTAAGACAGCTCCATAGCTCTGGTAAGACATAGCTCCATAGCTCTGGTAAGACATAGCTCCATAGCTCTGGTAAGACATAGCTCCATAGCTCTAGAAAGACATGGCTCCAGAGCAGCTGTGTTTTTCTGAAGATGAGGTCTCCATGCCTGGATGCAATAATTCATGTGGGGCGCACCAGCTACAGTCTAAGTAGACCTAGGCTGGCGGTTACACAACTGGTCGGGGTCTGGTTACACAACTGGTCGGGCTCCGGTTACACAACTGGTCGGGCTCCGGTTAAATAACTGGTCGGGCTTCGGTTACACAACTGGTCGGGCTCCGGTTAAATAACTGGTCGGGCTTCGGTTACACAACTGGTCGGGCTCCGGTTAAATAACTGGTCGGGCTCCGGGGGTGTCACTTGGGCTGTGGGTTGTGCATGGTTGGGCTTCGGTTCGTGCATGGTTGTGCTTCAGTGGTTGCTTGTGTACTAGTGCTCCAGGTTTGTTTGCTAAGGCTTGATCTATGTTTATATGTTTGCTAGAAATCCGGGTTTCTTTTTTTTGTGTATAGTTCAATTGTTTGCTATGGCTCCATAGTTGGTTTCTAGGGCAAGTGGAGGGTTTTAGGTCGCTAAGAAGATTTTTGTTTGGTCGAGATAGGAATGGAGTTTGGTTGTGCTCTGGGACTGTTTAGCTTGGTGGGGGTTGGATGAGATGTATACTTGCTAGGCTTACGGTTACACAACTGGTCGGGGTCTGGTTACACAACTGGTCAAGCTTCGGCTGCACAACTAGTTTGGCTCCGGTTACAAAATATATACACACATACCAAAAGAATAGGGGTGGTAGGAGAAGAAAATATCAGTGTTCCGTGAGGATCCACAAGGTCTAATCTGGGTACTCTTTATTTTCTTCTCCGAGGCTATGGGTCCCTACACTTGCACCAGAGGTGGTACCCCTTTTAGGTTAATATATATATATATATATATATATATATATATATATATATATATATATATATATATATATATATATATATATATATAATAATAATGCGTAAATATATCATATATGTGTGTGTGTGTGTGCAGAGATATTAATAAAACAATTAACATCGTGTAGTGTACTCTACATATCAAAATATATTACTTTGAAACCCGTAGTTAAGTTTAGTTCATTTATTATGCACCCCATACCCATCTTGTGGGCGGTAGTGGAAAGGGTTACAGAGGCACATAATGGGCTCAGGGACTGAACCCCACAATTCATTTAGCTAAGCAAGTTACAATCTTGATGAGCTAGTTCAATCAGTAAACCAAAAAATTGGGCTACTCCTGTTACAAATTCGCTACTTTGAGACCGCCTGCTCGCTACTTTCCGCAATTTGTACCTGGCAACCCTGGTTATGGGTGGAGTGTTGTCCACACTCTCCACCATGCTACTCTCGACTCCACGTCCCTGGTGCTCCTGAACTGACTACACCAACAACAACAACCACCACTATGGACTCCATTCTGGAATTAGGACATGCTACACGCAATTATCTACATGTGAGCTTTGAGAGATACCCGGTGAGTGGACTGGTAATGTAGTAGTGGGTTAGTGTGCTCAGATGATCCCCTTGAAGTCTGTATACCTGTAATTTTGATAATTCCTTTTGCCGGGGGACAGGAAGCCTGTTTATTTTGGTTGGTTTTGTATTGAGGTCCCCTTACATGGTCGTTCTGCAGTATGTAATCCCCACAACAGTTCCTTAACTCCTTGGTGTTGTTATTGCTTGATGAACAGACGCATAAGGTGAAAGGAAACGTGCCCAACCATTTCTGTCTCGCCCGGGGATTAAATTTGCGATCCTTAAGTGCCAGTCGAGAACATAAGACACTGTACTAATGACGTCTTGCTTGCTTATAATGTCATATTCTATCATAATTAAATGGTGCAGTTAGGTGATATATGAGGGCTTTACATCATTTATTAAATAGGCTAATAGTCTTAATGTGTATAGGGGGGGGCTTTAAATATATATTTTAAAAAAGTAGAATAGATTTGGTCCTCCAGCTTCACTGGCAAGGGGATTATTGCCTATACCAGGGGTGTTAAACATGCTGCCTGCCACCTTGCCACATCAAACACTTTATGTAGGGCATACGTAAATCTGTGTATCTATGTATTTACGTATGTAGGTTAGCATAGCATTTTAAAAGCACCGAATCACCTTCTGTGGTTGATTGTTCAATAAACCCTTGAACTATATGTTTAACACATCTTTAACCCTGTCCATGGAGGACAGAAGAAAATGCATATATGCTGGTTAGCATTGTAAATGTGTGGCCACGTTTGTGGTAGAAAAAAAAAAAACCTTGCCATATGCTGGCTACTCACAGTTTCAGTCTGACCTTGAGCACCCAGCAAACACAACCTAACGTAGCCCAGCTGATCTTAATGCTGCACAACTTAAGCTAATACAGTACTGTACTTCCTACCCAAATAATCTATACAGTTTTGACAATGAGAAACACGCTGTCAAACCGTCTTGTGTACGATTTGACTACACTATATCCTGACAGTGGTGTATAATGATGGCAATAATAATTATTTGACTTTCATTCAAAAATCCTTTTCATATTCACAGGTTGTCTTCCTACTGGTGTCATGCGTGCTGTTTGTGCTAATGACCCTGGTGGTGGTCCGATTATATATTACCTATCCCAAGGCAATAACAGAGGAAATTAAACGAGAACTAAAAAACAAAGGTGAGGATCAGTGAATCAGTTTCCCCATGTGTTTCCAAACCAGGCACAATTCGAACTGTAATTGTTATACAGTATACTAATCAGATTTTCATGATGTTATACTAATCAGATTATAATGATGTTATAATAGGCAAATTACTGTGGTGTTATACTTTCATTCTGCTCTATTTTTTATTTGTATACATTTCCTGTTGTCATTACTTATATAATTGTTTTTCTTGCATATTACTGTACAGTATATAGTGTACTCTTGTCTGTATTCTGGTACTGTACTGTACTATAGTCAGAAATCTAAAGAAAATAAAAATTATTCTTGCTAACCCTAACCTTGAAGCACCTCAAGGTAACCCTTTATTGTCATTTTGGAAATGTTACTGTAATTTGTTGTGTACTACTCTGCTCTTGACATTAATGATATATAGTGGAATATAAATACTGTACAGTAATATGTAACATCAGTCCTGTAGTAGTAATCTGTTGAAAAATATTCACTCTTGGTACAGTACAAGAAAAGTTCACGATGTATTTTTACACCGTAGGAAGTGAGTATATATACTGTATGTATTATGAGCAATATTCAGTACAGTACAGTATTCAGTACAGTTATGGCCAGACTTTGAAATCTTATCCCATTACAGTATATTTAGTGTTAAATTATATTTTAAATAAGATCTGGGAGAGCTGTTTCAGTACTTCTAGGTTTTCTACTAAAATTATCACTCTTAAGATAAATCCTTAAAATTTGTTTCTCACATAATATTTATTTAAATTTTCATAATTTTCTCTATAATAGTTAATATTTATAAAATTTATTTTATTTATTATATTTAATTTTCTAGTTGATGATGTCAAGGACTTCGTGGGTGTTGGAACTCGGCCACGGTTCCGAAAACGTGATAAAATTTATTTCTATGGTTGCAAGATGCTTCGCAAAGTAAGTAATGTTTACTGTGTTGCTTGAATGAGGTTATGGTATGTTTTGTTATAGTTGGTGTTCAGTGTTGTAGATGTCTTTATGTATAAAGAAGTAGGATACTGCTCTCCTTTTGGGACCTGTTAAGGTTTTGCAATTAAGACCTGTTCTATCTATCAACAGAATCCAACTGAAGGTAAGAGCAATAGACTGTTACATCAATATATCTAATATACTATGTATTTAGTGATCAGTTATTATACTCGCTTTTCACATATACAGTTGCAGTTGTCCTAAAAATTATCACAAATATTGTGTTAAAAGAAAACTTTCCACTGGTAAGCAGAAGTCTCTCTCTCTGTCTCTCTGTCTCTCTGTCTCTCTGTCTCTGTCTCTCTCTGTCTCTCTCTGTCTCTCTGTGTCTCTGTCTGTCTCTCTGTGTGTCTGTCTCTCTGTGTGTCTGTCTCTGTGTGTCTGTCTCTCTGTGTCTGTCTGTCTCTCTGTGTCTGTCTGTCTCTCTGTGTCTGTCTGTCTCTCTGTGTCTGTCTGTCTCTCTGTGTCTGTCTGTCTCTCTGTGTCTGTCTGTCTCTGTGTCTGTCTGTCTCTCTGTGTCTGTCTGTCTCTCTGTGTCTATCTGTCTGTCTGTCTCTCTGTCTGTCTCTCTGTCTGTCTCTCTGTCTCTCTGTCTGTCTCTCTGTCTCTCTGTCTCTCTGTCTGTCTCTCTGTCTCTCTGTGTCTGTCTGTCTCTCTGCCCCTCTCTCTGCCTCCCCCTCTCTCTCTCCACGTTCAACCACTGGGTGGTGGTGTTGCCAGATATGGTCCTCATTTTACTAGGGCCCCTAGATGGAACATGAGGGACTTAGGAATTCTTTTTTCAAAATAGGGGATTGTTACTGGAGGCCTGAGAAAGCAAATGTGCGCCCAATGCATGTGCAAGACTTGTTCCTCTTAGGCAGTTTCCTACTACTTCATAGATTGGGCTGTGCAGTCTGAGCATATTTAGGTATGTACCTCTATCATAATATGTGATGCATAACTGAAGAGTTAAATGCAAATTCACACAAAGAAAAGCTGGCTGTATTACTGTGTTCCAACTCTCTTATGTACAGAATGTTTATTTTCTTTGCAATTACTTAAATACTATACTGTTGATAATTTATGATGATGTATTAGAGCATTGTGAGGATTATGAGAAATTATTTTTCAGTATTTATAAACAATTATGGTTAAGAAATTGAATTCCCATTATATTTTTTATAATAGTTGTATTTGCAGCATTTTCTCAAGTTGTAGCTGGAGATCAAGAAAGAAAAGGTAACTTTCAAGAGGTTTCAGTAAAAATGAGGTTTGGGTCTTTCCTGATTGTAAGAATATCTGGGTTAGGTAAAGCATATAACAAGGAAGTAAGATGAGAAAGTGGAAGATGACATTAGAAAGCATCAAAGTTCAGTCAGTTCAAGAGCTTTGTGGAAGCATGCACTTGGTAACCACTGTAATGGGAATTGGTTATGCCTCTGCATCTCGGCTGTATCAAAATGAAATAATTCAGTCCATCGTCCTGTTCTGGTAGTTCTTATAGTGATGACGAGGACCATCGTACATATACCGACGGTCAACGCAACTATAAAGTAGAAATCGCACATACTGAATTTGGACAAACCGGAAAAGATTTTGTATTGATGTTGCAAAGACAAGCTAAACTAACATAACCTTCCTAGGCATAATACAAGCTATCTGAGGCCTAATATAGTACATGTGTGTGCTATACTAGGCCTAGGAATATTTAAGTTTGTTTATTTGCTTCATTGTTTTGGACTATAAAGTGAATAGTACCAAATTCTACTATCTAATTGCTAAGTATGTCAATGTTTGTACTATGGTGTGCATAGTTACAAAAAGTTCTGTCTAAACAGGAGGATGGGTTGAAATAATTGTATGAGATTGGTAAATAGAAATGCTATATTGCATATGGGAACTGGGATTTATATTGGTGAATTACAGTGTATTGAAATTAGTTTTCAGTTGCTTTTAATGTGGTTGGTTAAATTTTAGTGCAAATGTGTTTTAATATTTTGTTCTTAACATCTTGTGAGAAAACTTATTAGTGTTCAATATAATGACTTGTAACATCATATATTTCATGATGTATCATTGTTACCAGTGCCTGCATTTATATGACCCCGAGTTGCATTTCAGTGTTAAATTCATAGCTGTAAGATTTTCTCTTGTATGAAAAGTGCCAGTATGGCCATAAGAAATTTTCTGCTTCACAGGTCTATGCATTATGCTTGTGTCTGAGGCTGCAAGGGTGGAGGCTGAACCATGGCAAAAATGTGATTCAATAATTTTTATTATTAATGGTCGTGATGGTTTGACCTCATAGTAATGCCATATTTTGTAGCTCTTCTCCAATATATACATGGTCAAAATTATCCTCTGTAAATTAAGGAGAATAAATTTTGTAACTGTAGATTAATAATAAGTTATGACAAAAGGATTATGCTTGACCTTAATTCTGTAAATTAAGTTTAATCTAGCAAGAGTTTATACATAGTTTGATAACAATACTGTACATATCTCCAACATTATAATTTACCAAATGTTTATTGGCACTTTGTAGGTCAAAGCCAACATTCCAACTCGTCCTGTGGCATCTCGATTGTTGGCCAAGCGTCTGGCTCGGAAATTGTTGGGGCGCACCGATCGTGACTCCCCTCAGCTTGAAGTGATCGAGCCACCTGCTGAGTATCTCCAGGAAGACCTTATTCACTTTGATCCCAGTGTCCCAGCAGAGTTCATCTTTATGCTTAAGAATATCAGGTGAGGAGTTTGACCTAAAATATGTATGTTTGCTATATGTACAGAAATATACATCTATAAATAAACAGTAGTTATGCACAGTACTGTACGTTCATATATATAGTATGTATATATATGTATGAATGTACAGTATGTATATATACATGTACACACACACACACACACACACACACACACACACACACACACACACACACACACACACACACACACACACACACACACACACACACACAAGTGGAGTATCACAGGGTTCAGTTCTTGCACCAGTAACATTCATTGTCTACATAAACGATCTACCAGAAGGAATATAGAATTATATGAACTAGCTTACAGATGATAAGACACTGGGAAAGAAAGGAGACGCAGACATTTGTAATGCCCTTCAGATTTGTATAGATATAATAAGTGATTGGAGCAACAAGTTTCAAATGGAGTTCAATGTGAATAAATGCCATGTTATGGAATGTGGAATTGGTGAAAATAGACCACACACAACCTACAAATTGTGAAAAAGGTTAAAAAATTCTGATGAAGAAAGAGATCTAGGGGTGATTCTAGATAGAAAACTATCAACTGAGGACCACATAAATAACATTGTTGTGAGGAGCCTATGCTATGCTTTCCAAGTTCAGAATTGCATTTAAATACTGTTCATGTATGGGGAAATACTAAAAAACTTTATGACCTTTGTGAGACCAAAACTGGAATATGCAGCTATTATTTGGTGCCTATATCTTAAGAAGTACACCAATAAACTGGTAAAGGTGCAAATTATGTACGAATATATATGTATGAATGCATACTTTATTCCTTACTTTACCCTGCATCAAAGTGGCTTCTGGAACTGAAACACAAGAGTTACGAAGAGAGGCTAGAGGCGTTAAATATGCCAAAGATATAAGAAAGAGGTGATACTGTATGATCACCATTTGCAAAATAACAACACGAATCAATCAATTTGACAAATATACGAATTCCTGAAACCAGCAACTTTAAGAACGAGATCACAGATTCAAGCTAAGGAAACAAAAGTGCCAAAAAAATATTAGAAAGTTTTCTTTTACAGAGTGGTAGATGGAACAAGTTAAGTGAGAAAATAGTGGAGGCCAAAATCGTCAGTTGTTTTGAAGTGTTATATATATGTGTGTGTATGTATGTATGTATATATATATATATAATATATATGTATATATATATATATATATATATATATATATATATATATATATATATATATATATATATATATATATATATATATATATATATATATAATTATTTAATTATTTAATTATTTATCTTGTGTTTGGGTTCCTGAGCCTTTTAGGCTTTATCATAGCTATATTTGAAGCTGTGTATGGAGTCTGCCTTCTGCAATTCACTTTTGTCTTACATTTGTTCACACCTATATTCAGAAATTTCAGAAATTAAGTTGTGTTTTTCTCATTTGGATACAATACTTAATGTCTACTTGTGTTCAGTTGTTCATGCACCACCCATTCCAAATAGTCTTTCCATGTCTGTCTTGTCTATTTTCCCTAGAATTTTGTATGTGGTAATTATGTCTTCTCTGACTCTTATCGTCCAGAGATGATACGTTGGGTTCATCTCTGGAGTTTTGTTTTGGGGAGAAGTTTTGCCTGTTTCATACTCATATATCTCTGAGTATGATACAGGATGAGGATGAGGTAGCTTGAGCTACCTCATCCCTTTGTGTGTGTTTTACCTCAATAAACTTATTTCAATTTCAATTTCATATATCTCTACTGTGGTATAAGCCGGGTGGCATACCTCTGAAATTATTTCAGTTTCCTTGTATGTTTAATGACATGAGGGATCCATTCTGGTGCTGCATATTCTAGCAATGGTCTGACATATGCAGTATGCAATGTCTTGAATGACTTCATATTCAAATCTCTAATGTTAATTCTTACAGTGGTCAATCTTGCCTATACAATGATGATATCTGTTTGATGTAACCTTCACATGAAGTCTGCTTTGCTCTCATTCCAAGAGGATTTTCTCTCCCATTCTGTAAATTGTGTCCAGGCTTTCTATTCTCATCTATAGCTTGACGTCTGACAGCTGGGTGGACAGCGCTTCACATTCGTAGTCCTGAGGTTCCGGGTTTGATCCCTGGTGGAGGTGAAGACAAATGGGTAAAATGTTTCTTTCACCCTGATGCCCCTGTTACCTAGCAGTAAATAGGTACCTGGGAGTTAGACTGCTGCTAAAGGCTGCTTCCTGGGGATCGAGGCCTGGTCGAGGACTGGGCCAGAGGGACACTAACCCCCGAAATCATCTCAAGATAACCTCATGATAACCATCGCCTAGGTTCATTACTTTGCACTTGTTCGAGTTAAAATCTAGTACCTTTCCTTGAAACCATTCTTTCAGTTTATTCAGGTCATCTTGTATTTTCTAGGAATGTTCCATATTTATCCTCATATTTTTTTCATTATAGGCAGACATTGAGAGGAACTGTTCTGTGGATCCTGGGCAAAGACTTTTTCTTATCAAAAATGTAATGAGACACACAAAATGGAAATGTTAATTTTTTACCAATATTCGTATAGTCAGTGGGAACAAAACATTATGGAAGATGCTGCTACCAAAGGGCTACAGGAAATTTGCATGTACAGTACAGTATTTATATTTATGCTGTTTTGTGCTGGGGTTATTTTTAGAGTGCTCTTCCATTCATGAGGGCTGTGTTCATGTACATATCAGTGGCTCTAAATTTGATACTGGTGAGAGTTGAGGCATCTTTCTTGGTTTTAGTCAGCATAAGAGTTTCCACTACTTTTGCATCCACTTTTACTGCTGAGCTCTGCTATCTTTCTTTCATGCTCTTAAAGATTATATTACGGGGTTTTTTCTTTTTACATTTTTAGAAATTTCAGAATTGTTAATTTGACTAGTGCCATCTGGGGATTACGACTGCTTTTGTAGTTTGGCAGTTAATGAATTGCTACAATTAGCCCCAACAAGCTAGGAAGAATTATTTTTGAAAGCCACATAGTAGAAGATATACACATTTGTTTATAAATCACTCGTTAAAAAAATGTGTGCATGTTGAACATAATAATTGTAGTACTCCAATGAGTGTGAAACACTTACAGGTAGAGCATTTTACACTGGGATAACTTTGATGCAAATGTCTTGGTCTAAAGCCGACTTTAGGCTTTGCTGTGGGGAGTCACTCCGGGCTTTTAGACCTTATAGGCATATACCCCTGTAGAGAATTCTATTGTGAACACAATGATACCAAAACGAACGACGTAGCATGAGAATTAAGGTGAGAAAACTGAAACGAGTATACACTTTTCGGTGTCACCGCACGCTCACCCTCACTGAATGGCGCATGACGTCATTTCTGCAGCATGCACGAATGGCACGCGATAGTGTTAAGTAGAAAAAAAGATATTCTGCTTTGCTCATTCTTGGCCTTGGCCAGCACAACAGCATCTCCTGCTTACTGTATTTGCACATCACTGCTTCTCACTCATAAGTGGTCACTTCCCAAGAATAAGGAGAGCAGATAATGATGTTTGGTAGCCTTTGGTGCAGCGTGCATGCATTCAAAGCTACTTGTTCATAACACAGTTGTGAAACAAACAAAAGCGGAGCTTCCCATAAATCCAAGTCTCTTTATTTTAATTACTAAATGCAGAATACAGTAATTTTTCTTGTTATTTTTGTTTACTTTTACAGTATATGAATTACACAAATTTTACTTGCATGCTAATCTCAAGTGAGCTGATTTGCTGTACTGTCCTGCACAACAACAAAATCCCATGTAGCACCTTATAAAGCTTACTAGAATACCAGGTGATGATTCACAAAAACGTGGCTGAAGAATGTTGACCAAACCACACTAGAAGACGAAAAGACGATGACGTTTCTGTCAGTCCTAGACCATTATAAAGCAGCGATTATCGACTTGATAATGGTCCAGGAAGGACCGAAACATTGTCTTTTCATCTTCTAGTGTGTGGTTTGGTCACCCTACTAGAATAATTTATCCTTCAATGCCGGTTTCCTTATTTTTGGAAGTGGCTGTTTGTAGAATCTCTATAGGCACTTGCCTTGTATAATCCCCTTGCATTCAAAATGTCTCTGAAATCAGATGTGAATAGCGAGCTATATTGAAGGTTCTAGCATTGAGAATGATGGATGCTGTACAGAGTTTGGTCATCATTGCCGTGTGATATAACTGTCATATCAGAATAGTAGTGGCCTTGTGCATAACAAGTGGTGTGCTCGAGCAGAATGCCAGCGACCTCGTGCATAACATGTGGTGTGCTCGTGCAGAATGACATCGACCTCGTGCATAACACTGGCCTCTTACAGAATCTGTCCCTGGCAGTGGCCTTGTGTAAAATCTCCACCCATGGCAGTGGTCAAGTGTAGAATCTCCTTTCTCAGCAGTGATCTCGTGTGGAATCTTCCCACCCAGAATTGCCTTCTGTGAAATCTTTTCCCGGCAGTAGCCTCATGTGGAATCATCCCCCTTGTAGTTGCCCCGTGTAAAATTTTTCCCCGGCAGTGGCCTCATGTGGAATCTCCCCCATGAGTGGACTTGTGTGGAATCTCCCCTCAGCAGTGGCTTCAGGTGGAATCTTCCCTCAACAGTGGCCTCATGTGGAATCTCCCCTCAGCAGTGGTCCTGTGTGGAATCTCTCACCCCATCAGTGGCCTCGTGTAGTATCTTCCTCCCCATCAATAGCCTTGTGTAGTATCATCCTCCCCATCAGTGGCCTCGTGTAGTATCTTCCTCCCTATCAGTAGCCTTGTGTAGTATCTTCCTTCCCTTCAGTGGCCTCGTGTAGAATCTTCCTCCCCTTCAGTGGCCTCGTGTAGTATCTTCCTCCCCATCAGTGGCCTCGTGTAGTATCATCCTCCCCATCAGTGGCCTCGTGTAGTATCTTCCTCCCCTTCAGTGGCCTCGTGTAGTATCATCCTCCCCTTCAGTGGCCTCGTGTAGAATCTTCCTC